CAGTAGCAGAAGTGCATACATCTTGAGTATAGCCAGCCCCAGTGGGAACTAAGTCTTATATCCTGACAGTGCCGGTGCTGATATATACTCTACCAACCAAGCTATACAGAAAATGAAATCCCAAACCTTGGCAGCTTTAGTGTTAGTCTCTTCTCTTTGAGCTCCATGGGAAATTGAGTTTCCAACCCAGCAACAGCGCTTATAGCTCTACCCAAAGGGATGAAAAAGTGCAGAATTTCAAAGAACAGATCACACCATCATTTTCTTGTAGCTGTGCAGATATCAGCGAGGTCACTGATGCTAAAAATATACGTGCACGTGTGTCATTATAGAAAGAAATGGAGATTAACTGTCTACCAGAATTGCAAATAAAGAAAAACATTGTGCATTTTTTTAATAAAATCAATGAATAAATATATAAATAAACCTCTCTGATGTCAAATTGGGAATTAAAAACAGTTGCCAAATATTTGGTAAAATGCAGCTTATTCCAAAAGCTTTTACTGCACTGTTTATCTCGTTCACCTCCTCATGTCCTGCATCACAGGCTTTTTTGAAAGGAGAAATCAAGAAGGCATTGGAGAGAGGTCTCTGGGTCACCGGCAAAGTGAAAAATGATCCGCTTACATCTGTGCTAACATTGCCCGATAAGACTGGGGGCAGATTGGACAGAGATTTTCGCATTAGAAAGACCAGCTCACCCACTCTAAGATGTAGGACAGGGCCACTTAGGAGATAAAGTCACTGTCAGTGCGAGAGAAGCCATCGGTAACACCACAGACATCTGCACTTCCTTCAGATTATGTCTACTAGTCGGTGACAGGAGTTTTTCCTGTCTGTTATCCTTGTATAATATGTGGCAGTGTGAGAGTGATCATTTGAAATTGGATCTAATCAGAGGTGTCATTTTACTTGACTATTTGTGCAGTGGTTTTTTTTTCACGGAAGTCATGAACCGATTTTTAGGGATGAAATAAGAAATTCTGCTCTTTAAAAGCACAAAGTTGTAAATAAGAAACAGAAATGGTTAAAAATAACAGATCTTTTTGTATTATTTTACTACTAATGGAATCCTGCAACACTGGCCACCTTTGGTGAGAAGTTGCATCAGTAGCGATAGTTTGGAGTGGAAGCAGACGAGGCTTGGTACACGGCTGGTTAGAGCTGGCAGGAGAACCAGTGGGAAGAGCGTAGAGAAAGGCTGGCTGGTGGGTGTTGATTGGAGCAGAGAGTCAGACAGGCAGGCTTTATCCAGGAAGAGATGATGGTGGAAAGCGTGCAAGGCAATTGGCACATTGATGAGCAATGGAGAGCAACCCATGACACAGAAAGAAGGCATAACTTTGAGACAACTTGACTGCAAACTGTGACTAGAGACTACAGCTAGTTCAGCTGCAGTGTCAGTGCCATGTAGAAGGACTGAACAGGCTGAAATTTAAGGTTCAAATACTGCTGGATCTTAATGAGAGGATGAGTTTCAGATGTGCCAGTTGATTGGTCAGTTTCAGGAACTTCACCCAGACAGACACGCATGGAGAGAGGGCTTTTCTCATTTCTCTGTTCCTTGCCTTCCTGTCTCCTCTATCCTCTGTCCTCATTCACTCTGTGAATCACCTTCAAGAACGTCTCATCTCGTCAGCTCAGTCTCAGTGTCCACACTGAGTCACTGTTACAGTAAGTTATTGAGGGCTGTACCATTGTCAAAGTGTGCAAGGGCACCACAAGAAACATTTCGAGCCCTTCATGCACACTTTCGTAAGTCTGCATTTCTGCAGACTTTACCATATGCATTTACCCTCAGTTCACAGCATTGTTACACTACTAAGGGATGCCACACAGGCATTAAAAGAAAACTGTATACAAAGAAGACTCCTTGAGGGTTACAGGATGAAAGGTGACATAAAATTACAGGAATGCAGCATGTTTTATCACAAACCATGCTTGTACATTATTGTTTTTCAAGTTTTATTTAGTAAAGAAACATGACAAAAATACTAGAGAGAATGAGGTACCTGTCGTTCTCGCTATAAGAAAAGAGCTTTGAATATATTTAAAAACACATGCAGTCTCCATCCCTTTAGATAGTCAGTAAAGTGTGTAAAGCCATGTGCTAAAGTGCTCTTGGACTTCACAGCTGTATACAAAGGAGACGTTAGGTACCCTCTGTGATGCTCTTGTGCTTAGGTCTTAAGATGGATATCGGGATCGGGCTCTAAAATGTATCTGGAGACGGGAGCAATCAATAGAGAGAAGAGTTGTAAGACGAGGATATCGAGGATGACCAGGTGCACCTTGAGAAAGTCTTTTCAACCATGTCATACAAAACAGCTGTGCCAAACAGCTGGAATCTTTAAAGCATGGTGGTAGAAGGATTTTACAAATACATGTGTTTATTGTTCACTGGTTGTGTTGGTTATCAAAGGAAATCATCTCTACCCTTCAACATTTGTGGGTGTGATGACTAAAGGAAGAAAAATATATTATGTGTGCATTCTTGTCACACTGTGTCACACTGGGAATTGAATATAAACGGTTTGTTTTCATGAACACTGTCATGCTCATCTGACAGAGATCATAAATAACAGTAGTAGTCTTAAAAACCCCACAATGAACCGATTAAGAAGCTGTGCACTCCTCATTCTACACTGACACTGTCTTAAAATGACAGCTCAGAAGCAAGGATGTCTCATTTTGTTAATGCCTCCTGCCTCAAATCCTCTCTCCTCATGCCTCTTCCTTGATTTCTAGTACTGAGATGAGGACCGTATAGAAGGTATGGCAGCCATGGCAGTTTGTCCTGAAACAACAACAATAATTTCCACATTTCGACTTTTTTCTCAAAAGACATTTTCAACTCTAATCTTGAAATTTCCACTTCTGTGAAGTCGACTGTGAGGAGGCGAAAGAAGCTTGAATTGGTTTTATTAACGTGATATTTACCATCTGCATGTGTCAGCTGTATCAGCTGAGCCAGTAGCGGATGGGGGTTGGCAGCAGGATCCGCTGATCTGCTGTAACCGTGGCTGAGCTCAAGTTTGTGAATGAATTTCATCCTCAATTTATTATTCATTTCGATGAGTTCGCAGGTGTGCTGGTTGGCTGTGATATTTTTATGTGTTTAAATGTGCATTTTTCATCTAAATACACTCTGATACAGCTAATTTGTTTCTCTAGTTTATACTTAAGTGCAGCATGACTGGTACAGAACTGTTTGGTTTTGAATGGATTGAGTGGTTAGAGTCAGGAAAGTACTTTGGTTAGTGTTATGAAAACAGCGTGAGCGATTTAAAGTAAATAAAAGCCAATCAAACATTGTATTTAATAAGTTCTATCAGTGCATCGTGTAACATATAAAACAGCTGAAGTTACTAGACCTGGGTTTGGTACTACTGCCAAGTCAGTACTTTGGTAGAAATCAACACTAATGACTGAAATTTTGAAAAGTTTAATTGATTTGTGTCTTATTGGTTAACATTTTCTAACTATGATTAGATAATAGAATAATTAATGAACTAATTAACTCAATTAACTAAACAAAGTTACAAAATAAATACAAATGCCTCTAATTATAAATATCCCAGTATATTATACAAAATTAAATATATATAGTTAGAAACTGAGATGCCCCTCTTATATTGACTTTGTTATTTTTTCTGTAGAGGATGTGATATTAAGGGGGTGCAAGTATTGCATTGTGTACTTTAGAGCAGCGGTCCCCAATCACGGACCGTGGTTTTTGTGTGCCACGGACCGGTTTATGCCCGACAATATTTTCACAGACCGGCCTTTAAGGTGTCGCGGATAAATACAACAAAATAAAACTAGTACCGGTACCGAAAAAAAGAAGATTTATTCATAACACACGTGAAAAGACCCAGGAAAACTGAGTTAATGATAAAAACGATAACAAAATAACGGTGAAAACCGATAAAAATCCTGAAAACCAGACATTTCACACCTGAGCCTCAACTCTCGCGGCCCGGTACCAAACGACTCACGGACCCGAGGCCCGGGAGTTGGGGACCGCTGCTTTAGAGGGACCAATTGTAAAGCCAGATGCCAACAGGCAGGAAAGATTTAAGTCACACTTTTCTATATTTGTGATCGCAATTTGGTGAAGACAAAATGTGTTTGTTCAGAGTCAAAACTAGACAGTTTTAGGCTGTGGATGAACACTGATAGTGATTTTTTTTCTCTCTTCTTTGTAACAAGTGGATTCTATTGGTGGCCTTGAAGCCTTTTTCCAGCATCTGTCGATTTTACTTGTGTCTGCAGAAATGTCAAGGTCAGAAATCTGAGCTGTAGGTAAAAGATTAGAAAGCATTTTATCTGAATGAAGTGATGAAGAAAATATTAGTCTGGAAGGAAAGCCTGAGAGCTGGAACAGGGGGAGCTGTAGTAGTTCTGCTAAGATCTCTGCTTGGTTTGGTTCTCATTGGTACAAAATGACAGTAAATAACACCACTTACATGTGAGGCTACTGAAGTGTTCTTTCTCCACCGAGTAAACCGAGTAAAGTATAAAATGATACTGACAGATTCAAATCTCTGAGCCAAGTTTATCGCTTAGGATCCCAGTTACTGTGATTCCTTTGGTCTGTGGTTTGATCCGATTTGACTGACAGGGTGCAGGAAACACAAGCAAAGCCCACAATACTGTCATCAGACATCTGTTCAAATGTTAATAATTCTTGATTTGTGCATGGGAGAGGATATAACAACTTTTTCAAACAACTGCGGTGTTCATAGCGTGAACCCGACTGAAAGAGTTCTGGGCCTTTAAGCACGAGGTTAGTTCAGATCCAGCATTATTATCTCTGAGGGTCCTCACGCATGTGTGTCATTTATTGTGTAATTTTACTAACATGTGTCTTCTGACCTCTTGTGACAACAGATGACTTACACACATAACACACAATGCTATTGTACGCAATTCTTAATAAAAGCTGTTTTCTTTTCTCTCTCTCTCTCCTTCTTCCGTCCTGCTGCGTGAAACAACAGATCACTTGGGCATCGAGTTTATGGGTAAGGAAGCTTTTCTTGTCTTGCATCTGTCTGAGTCATAACTGTAAACATCACCGCTTTTCATATTGGATAAACAATACACTCTGAGGGCTCAGATACAGAACAAATTGTTCATAACAGCCAGCAAACGGCATAAGTTGGATGTGTCTAATTACATATGGCACTGTGACATAATTTGAAATGTAATCAGGAAAGCTGTGGTGAATACAAATATATCTATAGTTATACATTAACATATTAGCTGCCGTCAACCGTGCGTGCTGCACTGTATTTTACATGCTGTCTTAATCTGTTTTTATCCTCCTTACACATATGTACTTACGTATCTTTACTCCCCGCACCATTTCTATCTTTCTGCTTTCTTTCTCTCTCTTGCACTATCTCTCTCTTTTTCTCACAATTGCTCATGAAGTGTCCCACCAGAATACCAATGTGCTGCAGTCTCCTTGGAAACAGTGAGAACAGAGAGGCGTGCAGGGTGCAGTGAGGGAGTTTTTGTGATGTTGGCACCGTTACCAGTCGCACTCCTCATTAGTATGTGTGGGTATGTGTGCGCATGCATGGCACATGCTCAAAGTGTGTGTCTGAAGCCCTAATGTGAGTTTGATGAGATCCTTCCAGCGATTGTGTGTTGAATGTTAGTGTGCGTTTCCCATGCACACGCTGCGAGGCTGTGAAGGATAGATGCCAGCGGCTCCACCTCGTCTTCGCCAAGCTGCTCGCTCCCGGTTTTGGCTCTCGCGGACTCTGTGTCGGGTATCACAGCTGAGAAGCGCTAGTTAACGACATGAAACTTGTTAACCAGAGCCCCTCACTCTCTCTCAAAATGTGTCCTCTTTAGGTTAAAAAAAAATCTCTGTAGTATCAAGGAAAATGCTCTTCCTCTTGCCTGGCCTTACAGCATCTACATGCTCAAAGTCAAATTTCACAAGAACAAGCACTGCTGCATCTCTTTCAGCTGCCCGATCGCTGCCTAAGCAGTCAAACGAAGTAAAGCTTTTTTTAGAAAACCTGCTTAGACTATGCAAACTTGGCAGTGACAGATGATATTTTCTACAGAGCTATCTTGCAGGTTTCCCCATTTATATTCAGCGAGAGGTTTTATGCTTCTGCAACATTGTTCAGGCTGCCACATTTTCATTGCCGAGCTGACGTCTCTAGTCCTGCCAACGTCTTCCCCCAGCATTGTGTTAAGCAGCGGCTAGATAAGAACCTCCCACACTCAATCCTGGTGTGTCAGTGTCTGTGCCTTTGGAAGCTCTTTGAAGGAAAGAAATGCACAGACCTACTGTAATGCTCTTTGTCACAGATTATTGTCATTAATGCAAGTGAGAAAATATACTTTACATAGTAGATTAAACTACAAACTGTCACTTGAACTGCCCCATCCTTTCTGTCAATAGCAAGTGATAGCAAATCGTTATTTCACTCTAAGACACATTGCATCAACAACAGGATGATTTATAGATACCATTTGACCAAAAAGGCTCTGATCTGAGGATTAAAAAGGACCAATCTCAGTTGCTGCTGAGAAACTCGCCCTTAATAATAAATAAACAGATTTTTAGTTTGGAGTAAATTTAACATTCAAGTAAAAGGTTTGAGGGATTGCAGGGAGCTCTAGCATGAAGACATTAGTGTTTGAGATGAGATTAAAAAAAATGTAATCTTGGGCCCCAACCTACACCAGATGTCACTGGCATCACTATAAACAGCAACGAAGTCACATTTAAACACATGGGGTAGCCGTAAGCATCATCTGACAACTGTCGAGAAGCGACACATTTATTCCCGACCATAAATGTTACCAGCGACTGAAAACAAATGTAAAAAGTGAGCAAAAGTAAAAGAAATCCATGAGTGCAAAACACAAATCACCCAAACATGACAGGGTCTGACTCACAAACCCATGACTTTGAAACTGCCGCCCCTCAGGCAGACTTTGTCACTCTTTTAAAAGAGAACTTTTATCTCTTTGTGTCCAATGTTGCCTCTGCCAGCGTGTCTCTGTGATGCCAGCAGCTGCTGACAGAACGGCAGTACTTGACTCCAAAGATGAGAATGTGTTGGTCAAACTTGGCATTCTTTGCCATACAAACAAGTAAATATTAACATGTGGGGTTTAATTTTGTTGGCTTCATTGGGTGAGGGCCTCCAGCTCGCACTGGAAAGGTTCGCAGCCGAGTGTGAAGCAGCGGGAATGAGGATCAGCACCTCCAAATCTGAGGCCATGGTTCTCAGCCGGAAAAGGGTGACCACTCCGGGTCGGGGATGAGTTCCTGCCCCAAGTGGAGGAGTTCAAGTATCTCGGGGTCTTGTTCACGAGTGATGGGAGAAGGGAGGTGGAAATCGACAGATGGATTGGGGCTGCAGCTGCAGTAATGCGGACGCTGCACCGGTCCGTCGTGGTGAAGAGGGAGCTGAGTGTAAAAGCGAAGCTCTCAATTTACCGGTCGATCTACGTCCCTACCCTTACCTATGGCCACGAGCTGTGGGTAGTGACCGAAAGAACGAGATCGCGGATACAAGCAGCAGAAATGAGCTTCCTCCGAAGGGTGGCTGGCCTCTCCCTTAGGGTGAGAAGTTCGGACATCCGGGAGGGGCTCAGAGTAGAGCAGCTGCTGCTCCACATCGAAAGGAGCCAGCTGAGGTGGTTCGGGCATCTGACAAGGATGCCCCCTGGGCGCCTCCTGGGTGAGGTGTTCCAGGCATGTCCCACCGGGAGGAGGCCCCGGGGCAGACCCAGGACACGCTGGAGAGATTATATCTCTCGGCTGGCCCGGGAACGCCTTGGTGTTCCCCCGGATAAGCTGGAGGAAGTGGCTGGGGAGAGGGAGGTCTGGGCCTCTTTGCTTAGGCTGCTGCCCCCGCGACCCGGCCCCGGTTAAAGCGGATGAAGATGGATGGATGGATGGATGTTTTAATTTTTGCTATATATATTTTGCTATATAACATTGCACTGTCCACTTTCTGTTGTAGCAAAACAAATTCCCCACGTGTGGGATAATAAAGGTTATCTTATCTTAACCCAGTTGTGGTTAGTTTTACAGATAACTTGAAGCTTTGTGCCTGTTTTATAGAGAATGAACTTCTCCCCTCCAAGAGACTCAGTTTCTGGGGTTAAAAGGAGAAATCTCTCCTCCGAGGACATCACAGCCTGAAGCCCTGAGCCGAGACCACCTTCAGGAATTCTTTGATCCAGTTTTCCTCTTAATATATTTTCTGGTTACTTGGCAGAAGTTGACAAATTTGACAGCATCCAGTCAGTCAGTCATGTGGTCATCAATATTTCTAATATGACTGAGCTGTGACTGGAAGCTTTTGCACTGACTTGTAAATCAATGTTTGAAGAAAGTGTTACAAGCAGCTACTTTTGAAGGGCAGTAGATGTATTTTAAGTCATGTTGATTTTCAATTTCCTTCCAGAGGGTTCGTCGAGTGATTGTGCTGGAAGGAGGCTGGTTAGCAAAGGCGAACAGACCTAGCTGGACGCATTTGTTTCTTTCTGTCATTTACTTCACATCGTGATAGAAACTGGCGAGGTAGAAAAACTTTTTAAATCACTCACTCAACTTTGGTAAGCCGAGAACTAAAATGCACTGAGAATGCTAAATATTAAGCCCGAGTTGTTTGGTATGACAGAAGAGAAAGGAGATAAGTAACACAAGGGAAGAAAGACAGAGAGGAATTTATAAACTGCAATCACTCCGGTGTCTTCCCAGAGATCCCTTTTCTATCACAATTTCATTTATTTTCATTATACTGAGATTTTCTGTGAAGGGTTTTGAATTCCTCGTGGTGCAACTTGGCTCTTTTTGAATAAATCGGTGTTGCTTCTAGAAACATTACCTTTTTTTTCCTATAGGTTCAGGATTAGAGAATTTTTAGTAATAAAAAAATAAATAAATACTCCGTAATATGTCCCATTATTTTTTAAGAAAATTGCCATGGGAGAATTGGCCCTGTTATTTGCTATCGTCATCTGACACTGATGAATAATGCATCCAAAAAGCTTCTGCATCCAGATTCATCAAAGTTAATTATCCTTTAGTTGTGCTGAAGTCAGCCTTTAGTAAAATTGTTATGCAAATCTATCCGTAAACCAACCAAACCAAAAACAGGCAGACAAAAACATAGCATTCAGGCACTGGGGCATGAGAATTTGAAGGGTTAAAGAATCTGTGGTGCTTGATGGTGGATCCAAACAAAGTGCTTGTTAAAATCAATTTCATGCCACACTAGAAGGACCAGCCAGGAAAAGCCGGGGCGATGAGCTCTCTCCTTTTAGTGCCAGTAAGAAGCCAAACGGCAGGCAGCACACAGAAGAATGGCTACTACCAGCACATACTGAGCTACAGTAACATCTTCCGGGCTGTGGGACAGGAGAGAATATTATGAGAAGCAAGAAAAAAAAGTGATAGAAAGAAAGAAAATTGCCAGCGATAACAATATCTCCAGTCACCTAAATAGATTCAGTCTGTAAATGGGTGAATAAAGCTATCCAAGTAATAGAGGAAAGAACCGTGACCAGCCAAGAGAGCATGTTTACTCTAGCACGGCAGGCCTGCATAATAAAGGTTTTATCCACCATCAGCAGTCTGTGCTGCGGCACATGGAAATTCTAATGCTCAGAGCTGCGGAGAAATGGCAACATAATCCCACACTCTGTCTGCATCCTTTGATCTTTGCTTTTTCTTATGTCACTCCTTCCATTCATCCATCCATGTCAGTCTTTAATGATCATGACATTTATCATGGCCTAGACTGGGGGCATGTGATAAACAGAGCATCGTTGGTATCAGAATGCTCATCTTTATATGCCGCGCTTTGACAGTAACAAACTCTTCTTGTGCACTTTATGTAACCGTCTCGGCCCGTGACAATGGGCAACCGAGCTGTCATTGACATGGACTCGTAATAAATGATCTAACTTGATAAAACAATGTGGAGCATAAGATGAAGACAAATTTGTTATCAAGACTTAAGAATCAAAATGGAACTGCATAATGTACATTATGATATAAAAAAGGTTTTTTTTAATCTCATCATTATGGAACCAAATACTACCTTTAAAGGATTAAAACAGCATTCTCATAGGGCTGAACCTTTAAATATCAGAATTTATTTGGGCTTTTGAAAATGAATCAATCTACAGTTGTGTGTTAAACGTATTTAAATCACTGTTTTCTTTTTCATTGTTTGTTCTGATTGTATTGTTGGTGAACAGTCTGCAGCTTTGTCTCAAGGTTGGTACCATTTTACCTGTTTTAGATGAAGCCAAGAACCAATGCCAAAACAGTTGCTTGAATGGCCACTGCGAGTCGGTCTCCATCGACTCCTATGTCCCATGTACAGGGGTTTTATTAAGGCTTAAAATGGAACAGGTGAAGGCCTCGAGAGCGGTGTTTCCCAACCATTTGCAGCCATGGCACATATTTCCCATTAGAAAATCACACAGCACACCACCAAACAAAAATGTCGCAAAAAGCATATTGATCATTTTTCTCCGTGAAGCCGGTATAGCGGAATTGGCTCGCTTTGTCCCCAGTATACCTTTTTTTTTTCTCACTCATGCACGAGCCTTCATCTGGGTCCGAATGTTCTCCAGGACTCAGGTCAGACTGACTACTTTTTCTTTTTGAAACACTTATCTTTTGCTATGACGTGCTGTGTTGTCTCACTTGCAGCATGACCATGTCATTTCTTCTTCGTCTTCTTCTGTTTTACTGGCAGTTGGTAACCCGTTTAATTGGAGTAAGAAGTTGTACTGCCCTCTAGTGGAAAAGAATATAATTGTTCTGCCCATTACTCACGCTGGTCAATTACAGCAGCGGTCCCCAACCCCTGGGCCACAGACTGGTACCGGGCCACGAGAGTTGAGGCTCGGATGTAAAATGTATGGTTTTCAGGGTTTTTATTGTTATTTTTCAATGATTTTTATCATTAACTCGGTTTCCCTGGGTCTTTTCCCATGTGTTGTGAATAAATCTTCTTATTTTGTCACCTGTACTGGTTTTATTTTGTTATATTTATCCGCAACACCTTAAAGGCCAGTCAGTGAAAATATTGTCAGACGTAAACCGGTCCGTGGCACACAAAAGGTTGGGGACGGCTGGATTAGAGTACCAATCAGGTGGATAATCTTTCACCGCACACCTGATCATTTCTCGCGGCACATCCAGTGGTTGCGAAACACTGCCCTAGAGGGTCTGAAAATTCAAGCTGCTGAACTGCATTGCTAAACCCTGTTTGTGGTATTGGTGTCTTTTGGAGTTTTGTCTGACAAACATTATGGTTTGTTGCATCGTTAACTGTCCCATCAGTTCATCTAAGAAGTTAGTGCTCCAGTTCTCATGAGAGAAATTCTAGTATTTTATTTTTATTGTACTTAGCACTATTAGCTCGATGTGCAATGCTACCATACAGTGTCTAGATGCACATTCTCAGTCATATTTGCTAGCCTTTGCTGATAACTTGCATTGGAACTTTTCATGCAATTATGGTCACTTCTCTTTCCAGCAACATAACAACATAACAGCAGAGTTGAGGCTTCACAGCAAAAGTCTACAAACAATGAGTAACATCAAAGGGGCCGAGTCCATCCTTTCTATTACCTCCATTTCTGGTAGTCTCAAAACCTGGTTGATCAGTAGCTTCTATGCTAGTATGCCAACACTGACTGTTTGACCAATCAATCATCCAAATTCTGCAACAATATAAACTTTGAACTGAATCCAATGTGCTGACAATCAGCATTAAATTCTACTACCTTCAAACTCCAGGCCACAGTTTATTCCATAATTGTACAAATGAAATACAACTGAATAGTCTTTCACCTAATATCTGTAACAGTCCTTGACAGTGTCGGTGCCTGCCAGCTGCCTGACTTGTCCATATGTTTGGTATTAGATTAAAATCCTTGAATTACTCACTAATCTGGCACCCTTTGTCACTAAAATAAGGGTAAGATTCAATGTGCAAACACTGCCTGGATAGAAAAAAAATTGAAATCTCTTAATGCACAAGAGCTTTTTTTGTTTGTTTGGTTTTTTTTTAACTTTCAGTGATTTTTGAGGGGAAAACTGAGTCGATCCTAATGGACTTGGCTCAAAAGCACTCCAAAGGAGAGGGCCACTACTGATGGAAATGTGTGTGCTGGAGAACTGCCAAGTGCATTTTACTGTCCACTGTTTCTGTTTATATGTCATGAACTCCACCAGGCAGACTTCAGCCATCTCATCAGGGCTCAGAGTCAGTATGCCTGAGAGATATGCTGTCAAAATGCCACCTCTCTCTGTCGCCAGACTTTAGTCTCCTCTGTGTGTGAGTGTCTGTGACTGTGCTCTCACCCGCTATTTGATTGCACTGTAATTGTTTGTGCTTATTTTGAGCATCCATGCTCTTCAGGACATAGGTGTGCATGTTGTATGATGTAACAGAAAGCTGGTCATTTCTCATAATGAAGCTCAACTCAATCATTTTGGATAATGATTGAAAGAGTCGGCACACAAAATCTGAGTTGTTTTGTTTTTAAGTAGGAAATGCGCACAGTTTTTCATTTTTATTTTCCCATTCAGTTATTTCACATAAGCCCACTTAAATTGTATTTCTCCAACTCTTTCTCCATTTCTTACCGGCTTATCTTTCTGGCACACTCAACTGTGCGGAGGGTATAGCAGCTGTAAACATGCTATGAATGTATATGACTACATACAAAAAAGGTCACAGCAGCCCTTCTATATTACTGCTGCTGCCACTTTTAGTGTAAAATATTGATCATATTTCTCTATAATGTGGCTGTGAATAAGTGGCCGGCAGGGCTCTGCAGTGCAGAAGTGGAGGTTTCAAGTGGAAAGTAATAGAAGATGTGACCTCACGGCTCCACAGATGGAACATGAACATACTTTCCCTCTCATGAGCCATATGATTAATTCATATCACGAGAGGGTGTTTTTTTGTTGTGTGTGTGTGTGTGTGTGTACAGCTAGTGTGACCAAATAAGCACGTGGGAGGGGAATCTAAGGTATTGCGTGACCTTGGACAAGCCAAAAACATATTTATGACTAACCAAATACTTGAAATGCTGTATGCATATGTAAATATAAGCCAGACAGTGTGTGATATACTGAAGTTTTGCCCATTTCTCTACTCAACTCGTAGCTGTGAATGCATGTATTCATATATTTCTGTCCCTACACACATTAATTACCACCCAGTTTTCTTCAGGCATGTTGTAAATTCTGAAAAGGCTAAACAGTGGCAGCCAGATCAGTCAATACGCTGGATTTATCAGATAAAAATCCATCTTCCTTCCTTACTAGCACCTGGCTGGTTGATTTTTCCTCACCTTTGCTTTTCGTCTTGGTCTCCTGCCTCCGTGTCTGTTGCTCTGCCGTCCCTGCAGCCAACCGAATGTGCCCCAGCTCCCTCTACTGACATAATTGTAGCCAATGAGCAAATCTGTTGCAGCCTGATTAGCAGCATCTAAACAGCACTGGCCCCGGACATAATTTAGACATAGATGGAGGGAGAGAAATAATGGCACAGAGGAGAAGGGAAAAATGTACCGAAAAGACACTAATAGGTTCTGCAACATCTGTTATTTTTAGGGATTATAAATGATATATTGCATGTACGACCGGTTGTGCGATTTCTGTGGGGTACACAATAGCTTAAAGGCTGCTGTGAAATGCTTGGACCGAGAGATCCCTGTTTTAAATTCCCTGACAGGCTTAAAAATATTGATGTGGTTGTGAATTAGTAACACTCTCGCTCGCTGACTGCTGTCAGGATGCCCTTGAGCAAAACGTAGTGGCTGCAGCTGTGTTGCGGTTTTATTCCTCAGCTCGCGGCTGTGATTTTTGTGAGTGGTGATTATTTTTTTTGCGCTAAAGTGGCCATTCGTGCCCATCCATGGTGAAAATTTGTCTCAATCACCTCAACGTAAAACCTCAACACCTGTCATCGTCATTGTTTTCCAAGGTCTGAGCCTTGCTAAATAAAACTTGATTGATTGCCTATTAATGTATCTGAAGGCAACTATGATTTACTTGTTCGGAACAAACAAGACAGCTTCCATTTTTCTCCACTAATGGCGTTCCTCCGCACCATAACTCTTCTTGTCTCCATGTATTCAGGCTCCATTACATGTGGCATCCATTTCAAAAGCAGTGTCTTGTGTCTGTCGGACCATTACTCTATGTGGGAGAGCTGATAAAATGAGCCGAAAGGCTGTGTGGTAACTAAGAATAGCAAGTGTTGCTGGGGAGTTGTAAAAGCGTGTTTGTTTATTGCTGTTTTATTTCAATTTTATTTGGTTTACGCAAAAGTAATTACACTTGTAAGAATCTGCAAGACAGATACAAAAAAGCCTAAGAGAGCTGTTGCACCACAACTGCTTGTTCGATGATTTAAAATGGCTGTTTGGGTGCTGTAAACAACACCGTTAGAAATTAAAAATGGGTAAGTGCAAATCTCAAACCCATGTTTAATTCTGCGTTAGGGTGAGGACTGTGTGAATATTGACTGTGGGATGTCTGCAGATATACACACTCGCACAGATGCACAGCCCACTGTTTCCTCTCCCTTCCTTGGTCTCTCGCATAAACACGTATCAGCAAACACGTGCGTGATCTATAGCTTTATTTCCCCGAGGGTCTGTTGTTCAAACATTAATGTGACTTCTTTCTCTGTTTATTTCTCCACAGAGAGCAAAGAGGTGTATAAGAGACAGGTGCTGTCAATCACATCCATCGCCATGGCAATTAGCCTCCTGGGAACGCTGTGCATGGCCCTCTACTGCCGCAACAAGTGAGAAAATAAACTCACAACACCGCACATAAAGTCTACAGATGGCTGTTAAAACTACAATTCAAATCTTTTTCAATTCAGCATACTTACTAGCTTATTACTTACTTCCTGTAGGTAATATTCAAATTGCACTCGCGCAGTTAAATGCTGAGATCTGGGAACAACACTTCAACAACAAAGTGGATCAGTGAACAAATCTTTCTTTGAGAAAGAAGAAAGTCGTGTAAAACTGCTTGTTGTAAATGAACTGTCACTAAGTAAACTTTAAACAGATTGCAGTGCACTGCCAGCGAGCATTAAAATCTACAAACTTCAAACTAGAGGCGACAGGTTATTTCATAATTGCACAAATAATGTGTGAATCTCCACCTCTAAGCATTATCTTCCTAGGAATTATGTTTCAGTACAAACAGCGAGCAGACTACGTAACAGATGGAGACGAACAGGTGTTATTTTTAATGTATTCAAGCTCTCTTTATCACTAATGTGTGAATGGTTTGTTAAGTAACATCAAAAATCAGACTTTCTTCAACCCTCTTTGTTGCATCTAACAGCCTCTAGACTTGATTTCATTTCTGTTAAAGACTCGGGTCATATTTGCCCCACAAACTGTTGCATTTGTGCATTGAGCCGAGGTCCCAAATGCCTTGGCTTAATGCTTCTCCTTTGCTTTCCTCATGACACGCAACAAAAAGCCAGACTAGCCAGCACTAATTTAAAAATGGAGATCACTAATCACTAAGCCAATAAAAGTTCTGGTTCCCATTGCAAACAGACTAACACAAACTTCACAGAAATAAAATGAAAATCTGATGTGGACTCAAATCATATTTTGCTAGCAATAACAATAACAGGGAAGCATGCCGTTATCTTTGGAAGCCCACCAGCTCAAAATGGACAAATTGTCTTGCATCAGCGGGACATTCAGTACATGAAGGGATTTCCATTTAGTTTCAGAGAGTTTGAAAGAAATTGATGCTGCACTGATGAAGCGATGTAATCTTCCAAACACAGAGCATCCACTGGTTGTGTTGTGTGCCATCTATGATGTCACCAGGGCCCTATCACCTTGACACTTGAAGTTTGCTAGACTTGCTGTAATAAACTCTCGAATGCTAGATGTCACCACTCGGACAAAACATCACCACTGGTATAGAAGTAGAAGAAATTGAAAATGGAAAAAAAAAAAAGCTTTTCTTCCAAGTTTTCTGCAGAAAGTCTCATCCTGTCAAGGTTTTACAGCATCTCTCTCTTAGCCCTTGTCCTTGTATACCATTAAAAGGGTGGCTAAAAACTGTTAAGATCATACACTTGTGTGCACAATCATTTTCACCTAACGTAATCTTTCACTGAATATGACAAAAAATTAGAGATTGAGTTCATGAAGCTATTTATCCTAGACTTCTGCACAAGTAGAAGTCTTTATGCAACCAGACGTCCTACCCCCTGCTAGCCATTAAAGCATGCAGGTTTTAGTCACTTCTGCATTAGTTTCACTTTTCAGCCCTGGAAGCAATCTCTGTCTTTTATACTGTCTATTATGGCTCATCAGCATTTTGGCTGTTGCTAGCTGGCGCAGGCAGTGCAAGCATGCACAGGGGTGCAGCTGCAGCTCAGTCAGTAACTATGCGTGTCATTAATAACACTGGTTTTCTGGATGCTAAGCAGAGAACTTTCACAGTATTTGGCAAGCTGTGAATATGTTGCTACTTAATGCATTTATATGCTCACTGACAAATATCCAAATGGAAACATTGCAGGAGTCCTCAGTTTTCCTGAGTTATAAAAAACAATTACTGCTGATAATTCAGGTGAGCTTGTTTTTGATTATTGGCTGCTACAACTTGAAAATGGTACTTGGTCACTTGATTCTTAATTATTTAAGAAAGCAAAATGTATATTTATAAGTGATATTGCTGATTGTTTTTGTGAACAATGTAGTTGATGTCCAACACAACAGAAAAACAGGAACCACTATGACATTTTGTCAGTCTCTCCTCTGTGAAGCGGCACTCTGCATATCATAAAGAGTGTTTCAGTGGCTTCGTGACACAAAAACGACTGAGGTTAGAGCTCATGGTGGGTATTCAGCACAGATAAATTTAGTTCAGTTCTACACTGGAAAGACTGAAATTACAAGAACTGCAGTTGAATTATTACTCAGCTCCTAGAGTGACAGCATTTCCCCTTTAATATGTTGACAAGTAAATTAGCTGTAGTGACATGAAATTTCACCATAACCAGCAATTTCGATTTTTTTCATGATTTTCCTTTGATTTGAAAGTGTCTACAATGACTGACATTCAAACTTTTAAGTAATATTACTGGAGGAGGTACTGCAAAAGAAAAGGAAATAAGTCAGAGAGAATTTTCCAGCAGCCACCAGGCCCAGGCTCTTCCAGCAGCCACTAGGCCCAGGATCCTCCTGCTCCACCAGGCCCAGGATCCTGCAGCAGCCACCAGGCCCAGGCTCTTCCAGCAGCCACTAGGCCCAGGATCCTCCTGCTCCACCAGGCCCAGGATCCTCCAGCAGCCACCAGGCCCAGGCTCTTCCAGCAGCCACTAGGCCCAGGATCCTCCTGCTCCACCAGGCCCAGGAGCGTTAAGATGCCGCCTAAGAGGAGCAACGTTAATGAGGAGGAACTGGAGGACATAAAGAAATCCCTAAACTTTATGTCTGAAGAAATAACAACAATTTCAAAACAACAAAAACTGATACTCAATTTAATGGATGATATTAAAGAACTAAGAAGGCAGAGCGAGGAAAAGGACAAGAAGATTGCTATGCTGGAAGGACGGGTGTCAGATCTGGAACAATATTCAAGAGTAAATGATGTGATAGTGACAGGACTGGAAACCAAGCATCAGACATACGCACGGGTAGCAGCAGCAGAGAGAGGGGAGCCACCCGAGCAAGAGCTACGCTCTTTGGAAGAGCAGGTAATGGCCTTCTTTAAAAGCAAAGGTATAGAAATGGACAGTAAAAATATTGAGGGATGCCATCCTCTTCCGAGAAAAAATCAAATACCTGCCATTATCATTCGTTTTGTTAATAGAAAACAGAAAAAAGAACTGCTCAAGCAAGGAAGAAAGCTAAAAGGTACAAATGTTTATTTAAATGAACACCTAATCAAGAAAAATGCAGACATTGCAAGACAAGCAAGAATATTAAGAAAACAGAAGAAAATACAGTCAACTTGGACGTCAGACTGTAAAATATTCATTAAGTTAAATGGAACACCAGAGCAGGCTAAGGTTCTAGTCATCAAAGAGATGACGGAACTAGAAAAATATAACCGATAAATGCAAAGCAGTGCTAAATATGATGTGACCGTCCAAGTGCACAACCAACGCAGATGTCTGACAATTTTCAACTAACAACTCATATAGATATTGAAAATAAGACATTGATGTATGACAGCAACATAGATCCTGATTGTAATTTCTTTAACAATAAGACAAATGAATGCAATTATTATACAAATGAGCAACTTAAAAAGGAATTCAAGGTAGAACAGGGTATAACAATGGTTCACTTTAATAGTCGAAGCTTATATGCAAACTTTCAATCCATCAAAGACTACATAACACAGTTTGAACAGCCATTCAATGTGATAGCCATATCGGAGACCTGGATAACTCCTGGAAAAGAAGAAGACTTTAAAATAAATGGATATGAATTCCTTCATGTAGACAGGATCAACAAGAAAGGAGGTGGGGTGGCACTTTACATTGATAAAAACCTAAAGTACAAAAGAATGGGAAGAATGACAACTGTTATTGATGGAGTTATGGAATGTTTATCAGTGGAAATAATTATAGAAAAAAGGAAAAACCTAATTGTCAGTTGTATATATAGAACACCAGGATCTAAGATTGAGATATTTAAGGATAATATGGAGGACTTATTTACAAATATAAATCAGAAAAGAATGTTTATTTGTGGGGACTTTAATATTGACTTATTGAATCCAAATCATAATAAGAGTACAGAAGAATTTATTGATTCCATGTACAGCATAGGTTTATTTCCACTGATAACAAGACCGACCAGAATAACATCTCATTGTGCAACTCTATTAGATAATATATTTACAAATATAATAGAAGGAAAGATAAAAAGTGGGCTGTTAATCAATGATATAAGTGACCATTTACCAGTCTTTGCATCGTATAATTGCCATTATAAAGTGAACAACGATGGACATAAGATTATTTACAAAAGAATAAGAACAGAGAAGACCTTAAATTGTCTTAGAAATGAACTTTTAAAGCAAGATTGGAATATTGTATATGAACAAACAGAAGTTAATAAAGCTTACGAAGGATTTTTAAGAACATTTAACACATTACTTGATAAAAACTGCCCAGTAATTGAAATCAATAGGAAACACAACTATGCAGGAAGACCATGGATGACAAAAGGACTACAAAATGCCAGCAAAAAAAAGAATACCTTATATTGAGAATTCATAAAAAAGAGAACAATAGAAACTGAAATGAAGTATAAAACTTACAAAAATAAATTAACTAATATAATGAGATCCTGTAAAAGAGAGTATTACATTAAAAGGTTAGAACACAATAAAGATAACACAAGAGATATATGGAATGTATTAAACAGAATAATCAAAAATGAATCAAGGAATAATGATTACCCTGGGTACTTTATAGAAGGGACAAGAAGTATTAATAACATGGAGGAGATAGTAAATGGCTTTAATGAATTCTTCGTAAACATAGGGCCAAAACTGGCAGAAGAAATAAAGGTTGATGGAATAGAAAGGGACACTGGTGAAAATATTGAAAGGAATAGTAGCTCAATGTTTTTAAGAGCAGTGGAAGAGATAAGATAAGATAAGATAAGATAGAACTTTATTAATCCCTCGGGTGGGTTCCTCTGGGAAATTCGAGATTTATGACATGGTTAGAGGACTTAAGAACAAAACCAGTACAGACTGGAATGATATTGATATGGTAACGGTAAAGACAGTTATTGA